AAAAAAAAACAGGAATGGAGGGTGTTCCATCTAAAACAGACTGAATAGTGGGGTTCCGCTTCTGGTTAATGGCATATATGTCACTGCATTTCATTGGTTCAAAAAATAACGTATTGAGACTAATGCTTTAGCAATAATCATCTTTCTTGCAAGGCAACATTTTAAGCCCATGTCTCAGCAAAATGTCTTCACTGTTACATGTTGAAAATAGAGACTCTTGATTCTTGATAATAATTCTTCCTAATCCAATTCTACATTATGCACTGATAACGGTTCACTCACCTCAGCATGCTGAATGCATCTAAAATAAATCCAGTGCAATTGGATTTATATGGCAAACAAACATTGAGGGGTTTGTTTGCCTTCTACCAGCTATTTTTTAAAAACTGAATGACGTTTTCAGCACACATGAACTCAATTGACTGACTTGAAGAATGAAAATCAGATCATAACTTCCCCCTCAAGAATAACTCAGCCCTCCATACACTTTTAGGCTGTCTTATCACTGCTCTTTCAGACACACACACACCAAGTGCAACATCTAACCCAGATTCCTGCAGTGCAGTAGAGCCTCAGTATGAGTATCCCAGAACAGAACAGCAGGGTATTTCCTTGTGGAACTCCAGGAGAAACCCTGAGAGGTGAAACAGTCACAGGATAACTGCTGGAAAATTGGTTCAAGAAGGATCTTGCTAACTTCTTCAAGACTGCATGTGATCCTAATGTTACTCAAAGGCTGCTTTTGAGCTTTTCTCCATCCTCATACCAATATGTCAGCAAGCAGGGACGGTTGGAGGTAAAGGTTGTGTCAGAATCAGAATCCTGCAGCCGATAGAAATGAGTCTGCTGTCCACGTGCCTGATGTTACAGTAAATCCGGGATTTATTTGTGCTTTAGCCAGCTGATGTGCCCTCGTTAGTGCAGTCACATGTGTTGATGTAACTGATGTGTCACTGTGCTACCTGTGATCAGTGAAAACCAGATAAACACACCAGTGACTCATTGTGCATTGTGGTTGGAGACTCTCACTGCAATTCTCTGACCTCGTTTCATCAGCTCGCCTGAAGCCGGACACATGCAGGGATTGTTACACACACACACACACACACACACACACACACACACACACACACACACACACACACATACACACACACTCTGATTCCCTCTAGTCAAAAGACATTGACTTAATTCACATAAATTTCCCGAAATTTAAGTCTGACTTTAAACAAATCATTTCAAAAACAACTGATTTGCTTGAATGCTTCCCAAAACAGGAAGCAAATCAGCGAGTGAGTCAACAGATTCATGTCCCCACAACCTGATTGCACGCACAGATGATTAGCGGTGATGCAAACCGGAAGGATCTGTGAGATATGAATCATCCTCCTCATCATCATCTGCTTCAAAGCCAAGGCAGAAATGATAGAGGAGCTTAGAGCATGAGTCCTGGATTAGACTTTCTCTGCTTCTTTTCTCCTCAGCCAGTCTTGCCCATCTCTTCTGTCCCATCTTTGTTTTGCCTCTCATCCTTTGTTTTTTCTCACTTGTCTCTCTTGGCATCAATCTCAATGCTTGTTCATTTCGTGCTAATCCAAGCCCTGCTGATCTATTTAAAAAATATCTACTAGTTCAGAAAAAATAACTCAAAATTAGCAGGAAAATTACTGATTATGGAAGCCTAAAAGGGTAATCAGTAAAGGAAAAAACAAAAAAACGTGATTAAATAAATGTAAAAAAGTAGAATATGGAAATATTTCCTTTATATGTTTTATTTTGACAGATTTGGAAACCTGAAAAATATTTACAATAACCAGCACTGTGTAAAACCTTTAAACTACCCTAATTTCTTTAACCTTTTTCTCATTTTTTTCTTTAGATTTAAGATGCTCTTTTGTCATTGTACCTGACATAGACCTTATAACTTATACCCAGATTTAGTTTCTTATGGAATATTATTTGAAGTTCCAATTTTCAAATACATATCTGCAGCAGAAGCAAAAAAAAAACAAAACAAAAAAAACGAATCAACCCCATTTTGTGTCAAATTAGTATAAATTCATCAAAACTAACTCTAAAAAAAAAGTTTAAAACAATGTGTATTAAAAAGTTGATAAATGTGAAAATTATCAACAATTGTATAGATACCATATATTAAACAGTTGAAAATGATCTAAATACATGGAAAGATAAAAAGACAAGGTTACACCCCAGGAGCAAACCAGTCACCAGTCCCTGGGTGAGCAGTGAGGCAGGAGTTTAATATTAATATCAGATCTAATGGAACATTTAGTGCACATGAATGGTATATGAAAGCTGTTGCTTCAACAAAGCTAACAATGGCCCCCCATATTCAAGTTGATACATCATCCTTCACTTCCTCCCGTCTTTTAAGTAGTAACTAAATCAGAGACCAAATATGTAAAGTTTCCTAGATAGGCTCAGTCCTTTGACAGACTTGACTGTCTCACTGCCTTCTTAAAGATTTGTATGTGTAGATATGTATTTCTGTTATGTAAATGTATGGCTTAGTTTGAAGCTGTCTTGTTTGAAATGTTTGGCTACATTCAACACATTCTTTCCTGTGTTAGACTGCATACATAAGAGTATTTAACTTTAACTCCAAAGAGCAATTTGTACCTCGTCCAACTTAATGAATCTTATTTAGAGCCACAAATCTACAGTACAATTCAGTTAATTCATGTAACACCCGTTTACGCCTCAGGTTGTTTCAATATGTCACAAAAAAAGGGAATTCAGTCAAACCTTACAGGCAGATTCCAGGTCATTTCCATACATTATCCCCCTTTAGAAAAAAACAGCATTTGTTATTATATCTATATCTAAAATCTGAACTAGCTCTTTATAATTTTGAGCTTCAGGTTGCAGACCCCTGGCCAGGATAGACCATTTTGTGTGTTAGGGGTTTTCTTGGATATGGCTGCCTCCATCTCAGTGTGTTTTTAGGAGTGAAACAGCTCTTATAAGCTTTGTTGGATTTGGTGTGTTTTACCTTGTATTACTGGCCTTTGTCAAGCTGGGCAGTCCACATGTCTGACACGCGTCTTTAAAAAGTTGCAACCCATCTATTATGCAAAGTTCTGAAAACACTGAGTCCGCCCCTGTAGGAAGCAAATATTTCCAAAACATCTCATGTGTTCAAAGTTTTCAGTAAAAAAAAAAAAATCACTTTTGATTTAACTGCTTGTCCTCCTCCCCCTAATTTTGCATTAATGCAGAGGTTGACAGCCTGGTGGACAGCACTGTAATTATGCTTCCTCACAATTAGGCAGGCAGTGATTTATTCAAGTTAAACACCTTTTAGCTTTCATCTTCTCTCGAGGCTCTCCCACTGCTTTCCCCAATCTGCATCATCTCTTCAGATAAAGACTCGCCTCCTGTTCTCTTCATCACCTCACAGCCTCTCTTCTTTTAACTCCTCCTGCTCTCCATCTGTAGCTCGTTTCTTTTTTTTCTTTTTTTGCTTTTGGACACGAAGCTGTGTTGTGTAATCAAGGCTTCTTTGAAGAGGCATCTTCTCCTCTACAAGCAGAAACAGTTTGTTTTTTGTGAGGAAATTTGTGAAACTAGAAGTTGCAGGAATACTTAAAAGGAGTGCATGAATCCCTAAAAAAACATTTTAATATTCCTGTTTAAATTAAGACACAAACATTCAGTTTCTGCTCCTTTATTTATGACCAACACAACAGCCATCAGGCTTGCATTCCCATGACAGGTAGTGTTGAGTATACTGTGAGTCTGGCACAGAAAAGCAGAGTGGAAAGAAATCGATAGCCATCGACATGCAACACTGCATCAAGACTTACTGCCCAGAGAGAGGAGAGGAATGCACAGACAGGAGGTGCACAAACGAGCAGAGAGCCTTCTGCAAATCGGACCGTGAAGGACCAACAGAAAAAGAGAGACAGACACAAAAGGTGTGCTTGACATAATCAGAGAATAATCACAAGGCTGACCGAAAGACCAGAGAGATCATCACAGATGTTGATTTAAAAAAATCAAAATGCATCTGAACACGATGCTACAAAGCAATCATTAGACAGGATAAGACTCATCAAAACAGTGAGAGGAATTGTTTTGTGATTGGTGCAGCTTCACCATCATTCTTCAGCTCTGAAGTGACAGTCCGCCCACAGCCACTGGGACAAAAACCCAGTTATTTGTTGATTACTGCTGTTTATCTCCCCTTTAGCTCAAGAATCCTAATAAAATTAGATATTTTCCCCTAAAAATAAACTATATAACCTAGATACAGATGGTTTCTATCTGTGATTCTTTACTTTATAAAAGCATAAAAAAGTGATATTTATTGTTGCGGTTGAGGTTAATGAAAAATGTGAAGAAGATTCTTCATTTCCCCTAAAGAGCTAATTGGAACATCTTCCTATTGGACTGGTGATGACAAACATAACAGGACGGCCATTGGCTCATCTCTGCAGTCGAAACCATTCGTTCTTTCATCCTGAGCTGTTTCTATATTGCGGCTTTTGTTGTCCTTCTAATAAATTTATTATTTAATGTAAAATATTTAAATAAAACATTTATAGGCACTAGTAAAGACTTGACAAAAGCCTTTAAATATACACATTTGTATCGCAACAGAATAATAATAATAATTGGAAAATTCATCCTTAAGTAGATTTATTCAAAAGGGAAAAATATACCTTAGGAAGTAAATATTTTTTTAACAAAATCAAAGGGTCCATAGTTTTGATGTGGACAAAATCCTGGTTTCCACTTTTAGGTATGGTGAGATATCTATGATGCTGTGGGTCTGTTTGTCTTCCAGAGGACCTGGGAACCTTGCTATATTGCATGGCATCATGAGCCTTTTTGTCAGTCTTGCTTTTTTTAAAGTACTTTATAAAGCTGGTTTGGTTCAGGAGACGTTAGACTGGCTCCAGTTTGACCAGAGCCAGTGATATGTTTCTGATTTTATTTCTGTTGCTGTATTTTGAATTTTTGTGTGTTTGTTGTAGGACGGCTCACGCCCAGGGTAAAGCAGAGGCAGCGGTGGGAGCCGCCCAGAAAGCTCATGAGGAGAGTCGAATGGCGAGGGTCACCGCCAAGCAGTTCTCCCCATCCTTCCAACACCCTGGAAATGGTGGGCTCACAACCACATGTACACAGAGCATTACCAAAATCAGAACGTTTCTCCCTTGAAGCCAAGCATTTACCCTTTATGTACAGTGCTGTAAGAAAGTTCAAAACTATTTGCACCCTCACATGCTTCTTCAGATTCTTTTTTTTTTTGTTGAACTTAAAAGTAAAGGGCAATATGTTATTTTTTCTGGGTCTGGATCATCAAAATAAATGGTCGTCATAATTGTCAATCATTCTGATAATATGTTAATTAAGGCCGTCCTACGTGCTCGTCCCGATTGTCACTTGCCGGTGGTGAATCTGACATAGTGGAAAAATTGCAAATCTTCTTTTGGAAAGTAAGCTTGTATGAGCGATGCAAACAGCAACTTTTAAACAGTTTGTGCACGAGGAGAAATGGGCTTGTGCACGTTCTTACACATGTTTAATAGGTGTTTCCTCTCGGGAGCAGGTACAGGGTTGTTCATCTGTTTTTTTAAGAGGAGAGGGTGGTTGTTTTGAAAAAACATTTTTAAAAATCCTCCACTATACCTTTAACTGATTCAGACAGTTTCAAATTTGCTTTAAATTGTGGATATTTTTTATTTATTTTGGTATTTAGGAACAATACAGTTTTTTAACCCAGATTTTCAGATCAAGCTAATTTTGATAATAAAAAAAGATAAAGAAAAGATAAGTTAAGCAATGCAAAAACAAAAACAAAAACAACAAAGTCATGATTTAATTCATTGAGGGTAAAAATAATGACCTGGTCCAGATGGAATAGTAATTGCCCCCTTAAACTGAGTAAATGATGCTAACAGCTGCTGTGAAGCATTTGTGATGATAAGCAATGAGCCTTTAACATCAATCAATTGTCTTTTCCATGCTAAATTATTTTATTTAGAATATGTTTAAGCTCAAACAACCACAACACCTTGATCAGGCCTGGACCTTGTTGTGTTGGGCCATTCTAAGCTGGACTTGCTGGTTTGCTCTAAATGATTCTCTTGAGATTCTTCATAGGAGATTCTGCTTCTCTATTTTTTGCTAGAGAGCAAGCTCATAGTTACATCATTAGCAGCAATTAAAAAACTGCAACACATTATGAAACTACCACAATCATCCTTGTGTGTTGGTGGAGATACACCTTCCAAAAGGCTCCACTTTAGTCCTTTTTTGCCAGAAGCAGAGCTTCAGATTTTGTTCTGGATTGGTCAGTAATCTCCTCAATGACTCACTGAATGAGTCAATGGGATTATTTGTTTTTCAATTATATAAATGTGTATTCAGCTGACTCTTCTTCTTTGAAGCCAAATAAATTTCAATATGATCGAGGAATTTTGACCAACAAAGACCAACAAATCCTATAATTTGCCTTTTCTCTATTTAATGTTCTTACAGAGGTTCACTGGGGTATATAAGCCTCTCCTGACTGATAGATGTCAGCGACTTTGTCTCTGATCAGTTGTAGACTTGTTGTACTGTAAATCAGAGCATGGCGTGTTGCTTTCTGAGATCTTCTAGCCTACTTCATGTCATGTTTATCAAAGTGTTACAGAAGTCTAGCCTTATAGTGACCTTATGAAAGGTGGGGAAATCAACAATTTTACCCTTAGAGGATTAGATCATCGATGCATCACTTCTGTAATAAATCTTTTTGATAATGTAAAACATTTGAGAGTGTCCAAAAAGCAGAAACAGAAGACAAGCACCCTATATCTAGCCTTGCAGACTTACCTAACACTGCGTGTGCTAACACTCATGTGAACAAACCAAACACGTGTTGATATCTTATATGTGGCGGCTGGGGGGGAGGTTGATGCTAAAGGTCAATGACGGCCACCCTCCAGCTTTGTGTTTCCATGTCTGTCAGTCACACCTATGGAGCTCTGCAGGTAGCCGTCGCATAAGGACCATGCATCATGACACACCCGCACACAAAGACAGGATGACTGGTGCAAAACTCTGCCATCTTTTCAACTCTGTTTCATCATGCTGCTAAAAAAATGCCGCCTGTGTTTATGGGAGAACATGTATGCCAACAAGCATCAGCTCTGGCATTTAGCAGCATTGTTTGTTTGGACTGGCCGGACATCATCTTCCTCATG